CTATTCTATTCTATTCTATTCTATTCTATTCTATTCTATTCTATTCTATTCTATTCTATTCTATTCTATTCCATTCCATTCCATTCCATTCTATTCTATTTCTAATTCTATTCTATTTCCTATTCTATTCCTAACCTATCCTATCTCAATCCACTCCACTCTACTCAAGACTATCTGTATTTGCCTGGAAAAGGTAGGGCTCAAATACAGGGCGATATCAAGAAAGGATGCAGCTAGAAAGTGGGTGGCAAAGAAAGGGGGAGAAGACGGCACAGAGGCCGTAACTTACCAATGACAAAGACGGGCATGAACGCCCCGCAAGGCACAGGGATGGTGGTCGCCAAAGCCGACATCCAGAACTGAAGGAAGACCAAAGGACAAACGTTGATTAGCAGGAGAGAGTGATTCTCTGTACTGGCTTCCCTGGTTTGGGGTCAGGGGGTTTAGCCTACAGTTGCTATGGCCTCCAGCCAGCAGGCCTATTGGTGGCACTGACAGTCCTTGACTTATGACCATTCATCCGGTGATTGTTCGACTTCCAACTTCCAACTGGTCTTTGCACTTAGGAATAGAATAGAATTATTTTATTGGCCAAGTGTGATTGGACACACAAGGGAATTTGCCTTTGGTGCAAATGCTCTCAGTGTACATAAAAAGAAGAAAAAATACATTTGTGTCAAGAATCATAAGATACAACACTTAATGATAGCCATAGGGTACTAAATAAGCAATAAAATCATACTAGGAAACAAATAAAACAATATAAATCGTAGAGATATAAGCAACAAGGATATAGTCATAAATGGGAGGAGATAGGTAATAGGAAAGATGAGAAGAATAATAGTGATACAGTCTTAGTAAATAGTTTGACAGAGTTGCTGGAATTAGTTGTTTAGCAGAATGATCAGAGGGGGGATTCAGCCAGTTCTGACCAGTTCCGGAGAAGCAGTAGTGGAAATTTTGAGTAGTTCGAAGAACCGGCAAATCCCACCTCTGACTGTCCCCGTCCCCATCTATTCTCTGCCTCCCAAGTCTCAGCTGATTGGCTGGGTCTTCTTTGGTTGCCCTGCACAGGAGAACGGAGCTGGAAAGCAGGTTAGTGGGGTGGGGAGGGAATGGGGATTTTGCAGTAACCTTCCCCCAGGAATGGGGATTTTGCAATATCCTTCCCCTGCCATGCCCACCAAGCCACGCCCACCAAGCCACACCCTCAGAACCAGTAGTAAAACATTTTTAATCCCACCACTGAGATTGATGACATTCGGGGAAAAACTGTCCTTGTGTCTAGTTGTTCTGGTGTGCAGTGCTCTATAGTGTCGTTTTGAGGGTAGGAGTTGAAACAGTTTGTGTCCGGGATGTGAGGGATATTTTCACAGCCCTCTTTTTGACTTGTGCAGTATACAGGCCCTTGATTGAAGGCAGGTTGGTAACAATTGTTTTTTTCTACAGTCCTGATTATCCTCTGAAGTCTGTGTCTGTCCTGTTGGGTTGCAGAACCCAACCAGACAGTTATAGAGGTGCAGATGACAGACTCAATAATTCCTCTGTAGAACCGGATCAGCAGCTCCTTGGGCAGTTTGAGCTTTCTGAGTTGGTGCAGAAAGAACATTCTTTGTTGGGCTTTTTTTTGATGACGTTTTTGATGTTAGGCGTCCATTTTAGGTCTTGAGATATGATAGGAATGACAATGAAAGGTCCGTCAATTAATGAAATGACTGCTGCAGGGACCCCACAGGATCACGATGGAGGTGCTTAGCCATCAGTTCACAGTTATGACGGTCATGGAATTCTGGGTCGCATGATCGTCCCTTGCGATCTTCCCAGCTGACGGTGAAGAATAGAGTCTCCCTTTGAGGGAGAAGGGCTGTACAGCAACGTGAAAAATAAATAGAACCAAAAAAAATTGGAATAAATAGAAATTTAAAAAATGGAGAGCTGGCAGAGAAGATTGCGAGCTGTGGTCACATGAGTTTTCCCTTACGCATTGCGGCAAAAAAGTTTGTAAAACTGGGTGCGGTCATGTGATGCCTTGCTTCACAAGCACACTGATTTAATGATGTTCCATTGCGGTCATAAATCAAGGATTACTTGTATTGGCTTCAAGACCGGGGCTGGTTGTTGTGGTTCGCCAGCAGCTGGTGCAGACGGCAGCGGAGTTGGACAATGGAGAAGGAAGGGGGACCAGGCAGGGAGTCTGGGGAAGACTTGGACGCGGGTCCTGCGTCTGATGCAGAGATGGGGCCAGGACCACCTCGGAGTGGGATGCTGACTCCGGAAACTCCGGAGTCTGGCAGTAGCGAGGCAGAGGAACCAGGGGAGCCTGTTCCCAGGGCGTGTGTGTGCAGAGCTGCCATAACGCGAGAGCAGCTGAAGCAGAAGGAGCGACTCAGGAGTAAGGCTGGGAGATGATTGCCCTGCCCATAAGGGATAAAAGTCAGACCTCAATGACGAACACTTTGCAGGAAGCAAAGTAGTGAAGGAATTTCCGAGTCCTTCTTGAATCTCTATGAACTCTGTTTTTTTTTCTTTTTTCTGGGACTTTGGTTGGTTTGTGTTATAATTAACTGGACTTCTGTTTTTTGGGCAGCATTCTATCGCACTGAAAGGTGTGCTCTTATCTGGGGGAGCTCTTTATAATTTGTTCTGGCCAGGAATGAAAGTAATTCCCAGTGTTGCATTCAAATAGGTTTTGCTTTTAAAATAAGTTTGTGTTTCATTAAGTTTGACGAAGCCTGGGTCAGACCACTGGTGCAGATTATATCTCTGAAAGGCACTGGGGTTCCAGAAAGCTAATTTATGGCATCTCTTCCTCCAAATCAAAAGGGAGATGGGAGACTTATCTGTACAGCTCCATCCTCGACTTATGACCACAATTGAGCCCAACATTTATGTTGTTAAGCAAGACAGTTGCTAAGTGAGTTTTGCCTCATTTTACCACCTTTCTTGTGAATCATTGCCATTGTTAACTTAGTTATGCGGTTGTTAAGTGAATCTGGCTTCCCCATTGGCTTTGCTTGTCAGAAGGGGATCACATGACCCTGGAATGCTGCAACCGTCATAAATAGGAACCAGTTGCCCAATGTCTGAATTTTGGTCATGTTACCATGGTGATGCTGCAATGGTCGTAAGTATGAAAAATGGTCATAAATCACTCGTTTCGGCCCTGTAGTAACTTTGATCGGTCACTAAACGAATGGTTGTAAGTTAAGGAATACCTGAACTTTGGTTTTTTTTTTTAAAAAGGGGGTTTGGAACAAGAGAAAAAAAATGGGAAGCCAGGATAGAAAAGGACTTGAACTGGGGATCGAAAAAGCAACTAGTTGAGTCATTGGCAGCTTGAAAGGAACTGAACTAATTTAGAATTTTTTTTGTTGTCCACTGAACTACTGGAACTAGTATTTACTGAATTATGATTAGCAAACATTATCAAATAACCAAAGCAACATACATTTTAATGACTTTATTCGTTATTATTTATGTCGCTTTGGTTATTTGATAATTATATAAAGATATAAATATACAAAAAAATAGACTAAGATTTAAAATGTACAGGTGGCCTAGAGGAGGAGCTCTCGCCTCACAATCAGGAGGCTGCGAGTTTGATCCTAGGTCAGTGGTGGCTAACCATTTTGGGTTCCTGTGCCAAAAATTGTGCGCACTTGCATGCCAGCAACCAGAAGGCAATGTGCGCGCGGCCCCACGCCCCCTGCGCATGCACACGCAACCCCCTCCAATGCTGCCCTCTTCCCTGCACTGTGCCTCCCAGCCAATTTTCGGCCTGTTTAAGGCCTTTTTCGGCCTCCCAGAGGCTTAAGGCTTCTGCAGGCTTTGCAGGCCGAAAAATGGGAAATACAGGAAGTGATGAAATGGGCCTATTTTTTGACCCGCAAAGGCTTTTCTCAAGTCTCTGGGAGACCAAAAAAGGCCTCAAACAGGCCAAAAATTAGCTGTGAGGCATGCACATGTGCAGTGAGGTAAGTTTGCCTGTGCCACGTATGTGGAGGCTAATAAATGGAATAGACTCTCCTGCTTGAGCAGGGGGTTGGACTATACGACCTCCAAGGTCCCTTCCAACTCTGTTATTCTATGACCTATGTAGAAATTTATTGTATATGTGAGGCATTCTACTGTCATATTATAATCTATTGCTATTGAGATAAACTATAAAATCCATCCAAATTTAATAAAGATTTCTGTCTCCGAATTCTCATTATTTTAACTTTTTCATCATTTATCTTAATGTGGCAATTGAAGTGGCCTTGTTAATCCACATCTCATGATCTAGGATTAACAGAAGAGCTCTTGACTTTGCTCCTCCCTTCTGTTTGTCTTCCAACGATCCAATCTGATGGAGATATTAATTTTCATTTATCCGTCTCCCTCCTTCCCTCCCTCCAGATACTTTCCTGCCTCCTTCGGCAATCGTTTTATGCCACTTCAATCATTACAATTTCTTATTCTAGTTTTTTTTTTTTTCTCTCACTGATATGCTACTCAGGGGTAGGCTTCAAAAATTTTAACAAGGGGTTCTCCTTCCCGGTTGCTGAGTGGGCGTGGCCACAGTGGGCGTGGCCTAGTCGGCCTCCTGCACAATGGTGGGGGGGGGGGAGTGGCATTTTCGTCCTCCCCGGGCTCTGGAGGCTTTCCTCAAGTCTCCGGAAGGGCAAAAATATAACTGTCTGTTTTGGTTCTATAACCCAACAGGACAGACCCAGACTCCGGGGAGTAATTAGGACTGCAGAAAAAACAATTACTACCAACCTGCCTTCCATCGAGGACCTGTATTCTGCACGAGTCAAAAAGAGGGCTGTGAAAATATTTACAGACCCCTCGCATCCCGGACATAAATTGTTTCAACTCCTACCCTCAAAATGAGGCTATAGAGCACTGCACACCAGAACAACTAGACACAAGGACAGTTTTTTTTTCCCGAATGCCATCCCTCTGCTAAACAAATAATTCCCTCAACATTGTCCAACTATTTACAAAGCCTGCACTACTATTACTGTTAATCTTCTCATCATTCCTTATCACCCATCCCCTCCCACTTGTGACTGTGTGGCTGTAACTTTGTCACTTGTATCCTTACGATTTATATGGACTGTTTCCTAGTATGATTTGATTGCTTATTGTACCCTATGACTATTATTAAGAGTTGTACCTGATGATTCTTGACTCTTGACGAATGTCTCTTTTTTCTTTTATGTATACTGAGAGCATTTGCACCAAGACAAATTCCTTGTGTGTCCAATCACACTTGCCCAATAAAAGAATTCTATTCTATTCTATTCTAAAATGGCCACCCTGGGCTCCGGCGGTTCTCTGGAGGCTGGAAACTTCCGGAGCCTCTGGGTGGCCTGTTCTTTGTCCTCCCTGAACCTCTACGCGGGCCCTACACTTACCTGGCATCCAAAACGGGCTGTGTGGAGACTCCTAGGAGGGATGGGGCAGGGTAGGTGGGGCCAGCCAGGGGTTGGATTTGCCGGTTTGCCGAAAATTATAACATTATACCGCTTTGCCTGATGCTACTCACAGGACTACTTTTTCTGTCTCCTACTCCCCCAGCCCCCCAAAAAACCTTTAGATCTATAAAGTTAGTCTTACGTTGAAAAGGCAAAACCAACTCCACTTCCCTTTGACGATTACCTGCCAACGACAGATAGTCCTTCAGTTACGACCACAGTTGGGCCCCGAATTTCTGTGGCTACGCGTGACATTTTTGCCCCCATTTTGCGACAGTGGTTAAGTGAATCGCTGCAGTTGATAAGTTAGCAACACCGTCGTTAAATGAATCTGGCTTCCCCAATGACTTTGCTCGTCAGAAGGTCGCAAAAGGCAATCACATCACCCTGGGATGCGGCCACCATCATAAATACGAATCAGTTGACAAGCATTTGAATTGTGATCATGTGACCAAGGGGATACTGCAACGGTTGTGTGAAAAACAGTTGTAGGTCACTTTTTTTTAATGTCGTAATTTTGAAAATCACTAAACAAATGGTCGTAAGTTAAGGACTAAACCTCTGTGTTCTTCCTCCATTGCTTTGGAAGTCTCTTCCCTGAACCTCTGAAATAGCATAGATCCTGGCTTAATTCCTCTGTTGGAAAACTAGATTTGTGTGTCTATTATCTTACTTACCCGTGTTCCCCCGAAAATAAGACTGGGTCTTATTTTCTTTTGGAACCCAAAGTAAGCAATAGGGCTTATTTTTGAGGGGGTGTCTTATTTTTTTCCCAAGTATGGGAGGCCCACTTCTGCTTGCTCATGGCAGGGCAGGAGGCTGCGTGGCACACCAGTGCCACCACCGCGAGGCGACGGATGGAGCTGCCTCACGTGCCCCACACTGACTTACCTCAGGGCCCCCGCAGCCAAACCATCCATGCCCCGACACATGTCTCGCCTCGCAACTGCGGCAACACACCACTCATCCTCCTGCTCTGTTGTGGCTATGTGGGCTTCTGCTACATATGCCTGCTGGTAGTGCCACCGCGAGGTAGGGGTGAGGGCGTGGATGGCCTGGCTGCGGGGGCCCTGAGGTAAGCTGGTATGGGCCGTGCTGGGTAGCTCAGCATCACGAGCAACCGGATGGAATGGGCAGCTGGCTGGCTGCGCAGGCTCTTAAGTAGGGCTTATTTTTTGGGGGGGGCAAGGCATATAATAGGTATGTGCATAAAACATGCTATGTCTTATTTGGGGGATAGGTCTTATTTTCAGGGAAAACAGGTTATTTCTGCATTTAAACGACAGGGTGCGGCATTTCCAGGATTTAAGTTATTTCAAGCTATGCGAGAAAGCGTCACACGTTTCAATGTTCACTCATGACGAAGGTTTTCCCAGCCCTTAGGAAACTAGCTGATCAGGAAGAAAAAAGCCTAATCCAATTTCCCCACATTGCAGGGTTTTGTCAACTTCCTTCATCTGGTTACTGAATTAGCCCATTTCGAGGGTTGCACAATGCATTAGACCATATTCTCATCAAGCAAATTGGGTTTGCAATAACAAGCTGTCATAAAAGGCTAATAAAGGTTCATTGTCAACCAACGTGGCATGATGTACCATTTCTTTGACAGACCTTTTGCTTAAACTTGTTATGTGAATATTCTCTCTTTACGGAGAGAAAAGCTAGGACTGCAGTTTTCTTCTTAGTACCTCTTCCCACATGCTTGATATCTTCTCATTTATCAGAACTCATGATTGTGTAGTTCCCATCCTTTTATTCATCTTTCCTAACACAGGAGAAAGTGGTTTGAGGCACCTTCTATTCCAGTTGCTCTCCTTGTTCAACACTAACACCCAGATAAGCAGAGATTACCATCACAATCAATGCTAAGCAATGATCAATCAATAAACAATATCTCAATCATAGAACCACCAACTCAGAAAAACAACCAAATAGTAAACAACAATGCAGTCAAGGAACCATGAAGAATAAAACAACACTCCCACCAACACTGGGAGGGAAACTATATATAAACAAAGAACAAACCCCTTCTCCCTTCTTGCACGGATGACGTTACCTAGCTGGGTAATGAAACGTCTGCTAGAAAACAATCAAGCTCAGGGAGCATCAAGAATTCCACAATACCAACAACAGGTTTTGGAAATTAGATGTTCCTACTCCCAGATGCCACTGGGGGAGACATCCCAGAGAGAGACAGGGTTATTGTTCTGACCGAGGCTTCCCCAAAAAGCACTAAGGAGACTCTTTGTCCCGGCAAAACCTCTTTTATTAAACGAAGGTGAATTTCTTGCGTTCACATTCAGCCAAAGGCCTGGCAAACAGTCTTTCAAGGGTCTAATTAGGAGCACAGACCTTATCTAGTTTGGAGAGTTGCCAAGTAAATATGTCCAAACACATTGCTGACAAGGAAGGACTCAGCAGTCTCTGAGATGCACAGACAGATCTTCACATTGCTGCAACGAACAAATTGTTTCCTGCAAAAGCCCCCTCCCCTTTGGCTCCTCTTTTAATCCTTATGGGAGGATCCATAGGGATCCACCTGTGGTTTTACTCCCACGTTGACCCTTAGTTTGTAAATGTTCTTTTCTTTTGGCAGCTCTGCACATGTGCAGGCTGGGAACAGGCTCCAGCTGCTCCTTTGCCTCACTGCTATCCAACTCTGAAGGCAGCTGATAACTGCCAGACTGCCCTGGCCCCATTTCTGCCTCTGATGCAGAGCCCTCGCCTGAGCCTCCCTCAGCCTCCAGGTTCCTCCCCAACCTCTTCACTGTCCGACTCTGCTGCCAGCTCTGCTAGTCGCCAGCGGGCCACAACAGTTATATCCAGAGTTGTCACAAACTCACAACACACCTTCATCAGGATGAAAACCACCAAGGTGACAAAGACGTTGGCGCGAGGGTGTTTCCAGGCTTCCGAAACGCCACCAAATTCAAATTCTTCCGCCAAGCCCTGCTTGGCCCATGTGCGGTTATCAAACAAGGTAACTAGGGTTTCCTTCTGGGTGAGCTGAAAGGGAAAAGGGAGAAGGTTAGAGATGCAATAAGTGCCAAAAAGTTTGTGTTGATTTGTCCTAGTCCCGTGAGATGGCACGCAGATCCATTTATGCCAGCACACGAGCTGCAGGCAAACTTACCTCACTGTGCATGTGTGCGCCTCACAGCTGATTTTGGGCGGATTTTTGGCCAATTTGAGGCCTTTTTCAGCCTCCCAAAGGCTTGAGGAAGGCTTCTGCAGGCTTCTGCAACCTTTGTAGGCTGAAAACTAGCCCCATTTCATCACTTCCGGTATTTTTTGAAAAACAGGAAGTGACAAAACAGGGCTAGTTTTCGGCCTACAAAGCTTGCAGAAGCCAGCAGAAGCCTTCCTCAAGCCTTTGGAAGACCGAAAAAGGCCTTAAACCGGCCAAAAATCAGCTGTGAAGCGCAGGGCAGGTAAGGGGGTGGTGGTGGGGTGATTGCACGCTCATGTATAGGAGGCGTGGGCAGCACTGCCTTCTGGGTGCTGGCACATGAGTGTGAGCGTGCAAGCGCGCACACAATTTTTGGCACAGGAGCCCAAAAAAGGTTAGCCACCACTGTCCTAGGCCTTACCGTTCAACCAGCCAGAACTTTGGATTCAATTTCCAGAAGATTAAACAGTGGAATGACTTGGCTCCAGAAGCTGTGGGTGGCTCCAACATTGGAGGTTTTTAAGAAGAGATTAGACAATCATTTGTCTGAAACGGTATTGGGCTTCCTGCCTGAGTAGGGGGTTAGATTAGAAGACCTCCAAGGGTCCTTCCAACTCTGTGACAGGTAGTCCTCGACTTTCAACACTTCATTGAGTGACCGTTCAAAGTTACAATGGCACTGACAAAAGGGACTTATGACCAGTTTTCATACTGATGACTGTTGCAGCATCCCCATGGTCACATGATCCAAATTCAGACTCTTGGTGTGATGATGAGGCACAAAAGCAATGAAGTCACAAAAATAAATAAAATCCCTTTAATACCACCAACTTGGCCCCCATGTTATTAACTTAAGAACTACAGTGATTCACTTAACAACTGTGGCCAAGAAAGGTTGTATAATGGGGCAAAACTCCCTTCACAACTGTCTCGCTTAACAGCAGAAATTTTGGCCTCAGTTTTGGCCGAGGACTATCTGTAATTGCATGAAGCCGGATTGGAGAAGTCCACTTTGGGGATTCAAAACTTACCTGGCCTGCCATGAATTGCCCGAAACCAGGTGGGAAAGTCAGCGTTGCTATGAGGAAGGTGACAAGAGCAGGAAAAAGCAGGCGCCTGCCGAGACCACAAGAAAACAACACAATGTTACATGACAACACCTCACAACTTCTCTTCCTGCTTCTTTAACCGCAAATCCTGGTGCCCTCTGGAGATGCTGAGTGTACACTTAAGAGTTGATGGACGAAGGGGAAGTATAGGAAGAAAATTAGGTATATTCTACTACGTATTTTGACAGCATCAAGGATAGCATACGCACAATGTTGGAAACAAAATAATATACCTTCGGAGGAATTAATAATTCGAAAAATCCTAGATTGTGCTGAAATGGATAAATTGACCTTAAAACTAAAGGACAAAGAGGAGTCAGATTATTATGAAATTTGGTATAATTGGTTGAGTAAGAAAAACAAAGATAAAAGGAAATAAGAAAGTGACAGACAAAAATATACAAATGTATATAAAGATATATAAATGTAGATATTTAAATGAGATTGGTTTGTATAACAATTTGTATAATAATGAGATTAGTTTGTAGAACAATGTGTATAATAATGACGACACAGTACTGTTAAAATTAAGATAAACATGTTTTAAAGTTGGAAAATAACAATGAAAATTATTGGGGGGGGAAAAGAGTTGATTGAGGGATGTCCTAGGCCAGAGGGGGTGGGCAACAGTGGCCCTAGTGTCAGATTCTGGCGTTAGCCTGGGCGTAGCCGACTCTGAGATACGTAATTCACTGTCACCCTTGATCCTGCTTCCCCCACCCCACCCCTCTGGGTGTATCATCCAACGAAACACGTCCATAGCCAAGAGTCATCAATCATGCTCTCCAGTTAGATTTTTTGCAGGGCAGAAGCTTCAGTCATCTAATCAGTCTCTGAAGAAAATATGAATGGAATGTACTTTCGATTCCACACTGCCGCCTGCTCTTTGACCCCCCCCCCTTCTTTCTGTTGACAACTACAAAACGTATATACAAAATGCTTTATGAGTTGACACCTGGAACCACATTGGCCCTCCACCATGGGTTATGGTTTACTGTCAGGCACAAAGAATCTGGACCACATTTCAAGTTGTAGCACAGACGATTTATTTCCAGCCCATACAAAAGTCACCTAGTCTGTACAAAAGTCCAGTCAACTAAAGTCAGCTCAAAATTGGTCCTAGGTCAGGAGTTGGCCGCCTGAGGCTCTGGAGCCGCATGTGGCTCTTTCATCCCTCTGCTTTGGCTCCTTGTTGTTGATTGGCACCACAATTTTGAGAGGAGCCTCTTTTGGGGGGGAGCGGGGGGGAGCACAGCATTTCAGGAGAAGACTCTATGGCAAGGGGTTGGTTTTCTGGTCAGCTCCACAATTGATAGGGCTTTCGGTTAGGACAGGTAGAGGAAAAAGGACGCTGTGCTAGGAGGAGACTCTACGGTGGGGGAACCGGACTTCTGATCGGATCCAGAATTAAATGAGGGGCTTCCGGTTAGGACCTATGTGGCTCTTTGAGTGTTGAAGGTTGCCGACCCCTGGCCTAGATAAAAGATCAGAGGAATTCAGAGGAGCTGGACTTACGATTGTTTGTGGCAACATAAGGATTCTAAGCAGATGACACATTTAATTCTGCCCCCATCTCTGCTTGCTCTTCTCCTACATTTATGAAGGCATCTCTTAGTTTCTTGCCCTTTTTGGGAGGGGACCAGAACAAAACTCTAATTTTAACCCTAAAATAGGCATCGCATATTTTTAAATTTTTTAAATATTAATAAAAGCAAACCCTCACCCACATGTGGGAAGTGATGCCTCCCTTTGTGGGCATCTTCCCGATGCCAACTCAAAAAATATTTCTATGATCTTTTTACAGTTGCCAACAGAAAGGGAGGGGGAAAGTGGGTTTGAAAGAGCAGTAGGGCAGCTTGGAAATCGAAAATGCATTCCATAAATACTTTTTTAAAGATAGTAACTAGTTGACTGAAGTTTCTGCTGTGCAAATATCTAACTGGAGAACATGATTGATGACTCTTGGCTATGGATGTGTCTCATTGGAGAATATGAATTATGTACACCCAGAGGGTGGGGGTAAATCAGGGTCAAGGGTGACAAGGAGTGATGTGTCTCAGAGTCGGTTACATCCAGGCAGTTCCAGACATGTTAACTCTCAATAAATCCTTCTGAAGTTTTTGGAAGTTTGGCTCGAGACTCATGATTTAATTGGGGTAACACCCTTGATATTAAACCCACTGACCCCAAACCTGGCTCTTTGCATGCCTTACTTTTTCATCAGGAAGCGGTTGATGGTTTTTTGTTTACGCATGAATTGCACAATCTTGCGATTGAAGTAGACAAAGAGAGCTCCTCCGAAGCCACTGGCGATCCTGAATGAAGAAAAGAGAAGTTAGCAGGAGAGGAGAAGGCTGATTTGGGAGGAGGGGGGGGGGGTCCACATCCAGAGGCAGGGGAGGCCCCACCAAAGCGAGCGAGGCTCACCCAATCACTGCAAAAGCCGGAAGCTCCTGCAGATCAAACGGGAAGTCGAGCCGGAAGCGGGTTTTGAAAAGAGCCGTGATGGTTTCTGAGGGAAAGAGAACAGGCGGGAGTGAGACACGACAAGAGTGGCAATTTAGAGAGTTGAAATGGGTTTGAATATTAGCAGCTCGGGATGGTAGCTAGGCTGTTGGTTTGCACTCCGAGTGTGGCAATTTGCCTGCAAACCTTTCGTCACCATTCGAGGAGACGTCGTCAGTGCACTTTGAGTTGTGCTGTGCTGTGCTGTCTTCTGACAGACGAGCACAACTCAAAACGTACTGACGACGTCTCCTCGAACGGTGACGAAAACTTTGCAAGCAAATTGCCAAGCTTGGAGCGCAAAACCAAGAACCTCAAATAAAGGATGTACAGATCTCTCAGGCACTCCTCACTTTACGACTGTATGGGTAGTCCCAACTTACAACCATTCCTTTATGATTGTTCAAAGTTACAAGAGAGCTAAAAAAAGTCACTTAGGAACATTTTTCACATTTACGACCGTTGTAGCATCCCCAGGGTCACGTGACCAAAATTCAGATGCTCAGCAGCTGACTCATATTTATGACAGTTGCAATGTCCAAGGGTCATATGATAGCCTTTTGTGACTAAATCTACTAAAGACCTTGTTTCAGGAATTAAAAATCCTGCCTGGCTCCCTGCAACATGCTTTAACTAATTAAAATGAGGTTGAATTATCCGTAATTCAGTGTGTGATGGGCATCCAAGCTAGGTTAAGTTCTACAGGCCAGGGGTCTGCAAAACCTGGCAACGTTTAAAGACTAGTGAAGGTCAACTCCCAGAATTCCTCAGCTGACTGAGGAATTCTGGGAGTTGAAGGCCACAAGTCTTAAAGTTGCTAAGTCTGGAGACCCTGCTATAGACTGACGATGATTGGGCAAGTCTGATGAATTTTAAGATTCATGGTAAGCTATCTTGACTTTAGCAAAATAGGCCAAATACAACACATTTGGAGGAAAAAAATATGACCTATGACCTCTCCCACCTTACATCTGGGTCGATGTTTCAGAATTCCACACCAAATGTACAAAGGCTCAGAAAATACCCGTGTTTCTCCAAAAAGAAGGCCTTGCTGTTTTTTCAGAGGCCAAAAGAAAATAATTCTTTTGATCTCTGAAAAAAAAAACAGCTAGGTCTTCTTTTTGGAGGGTTCTAATTATTGAGCCTGAAGACGAAATGGAGGCCGGAGCAATGCGTGCAAGTGGCAGCAAGTAGCTGCAGAAGAAGGCGGGGCAGGTGTCAGGGTGTGCAGGGCCTCGTAAGTAGGGCAGCTCCGCCCCTCCATCCACACCCTAACTTATTTTTTTACCTGTGTGCCTCGCCCCACCCTCTGCACCCCAGGGTGGGCAGGGTCTTAATTAGGGCTAATTTTGTGGGTGGGGCTTAATTTAATTGCATGCACTCAAAAACATGGTAAGGCTTCTTTTCAAAGTGGATCGTCTTTTTGGAGGAACACAGTATCTACAGACCCCTCACAACCTGGACCTAAACTCTTTCAATACCTCCCCTCACGACACCATTATAGGGCACTGCATGCCAAAACGAGTAGACACAAGGACATTTTCCCCCATGCCATCACTCTGCTAAATACCTAAATTCCCACAGCGCTGTTTTATTCCTAAGGCTATTTACCCATGTAGTAAGGCTGTGTTACCATTATTATCCTTTTCATCTTTCCAATGACCTTCTCCTATCGGTTTCATCTTATCACTTATCACTTGGTGGTTTCTATCTTACGATTATGATTCCTGTGACTTACAATTTATTACTTTGTTGTTTCTATCTTATGATTTATGATTCTATCTTATGACTTACGATTTATCACTTCGTTGTTTGTATGTGCACTGAGAGACACATTCCGTGTGTGTCCAATCACACATGGCCCGTAAAGAAGATTCTATTTAATGGTTTGGCAATATCCAGGGGTGGGCTTCAAAAATTTTAGCAAGGGGTGGTCTGCCTGGTCGCTGGGTGGGCGTGGCCATGATGGGTGTGGCCTACTCGGCTCCTGCACCATGGGAACGGGGGCATTTTTGCCCTCCCTGGGCTTCGAAGGCTCTCTGGAAGGTGGAAATGGGCCCATTTCTGTCCTTCCCAAACTTCTGGGAGGCCCGTTTTTCACCTTCCCTGATTCTCCACGTGCGCCCTGCACTTACCTGCATCCAGGGGTGGGATTCAAATTTTTTAACAACCGTTTCTGTGGGCGTGGCTTAGTTGGTGGGTGTGGCTTGGCAGTCATGTGACTGGCTGGGTGTGGCCAACTCAATATCACTCACATCAAGGCACGCATCTCCTCACCTGGCCTCTCGTGACTGTGGGGATGCTGCAACAGTCGTAAGTGTGAAAAATGGTCATAAGTCCCTTTTTTCAGTGCCATTGTAACTTTGAATGGTCACTCCACACAAGCAAAGTACCAGCAAAGAAAGGGAAAAAAACTCCAGAGACGTTCCTGTGACAGGAAATCTAGTCCTGCCAAGAATGTAATAAGGGTTAACGGAGAGGCAGTTTCTGTAAGCAACACCAGAATGTTTCCTTCCTGCCTTCCTTACGGGATTAGGCCAGTAATTTCTTCTAACAACCGGTTCTCCAAACTGCTTAGAATGTAAACAACCAGTTCTAGCAAATAGGTGCAAACTGGTAGAATCCCACCCCTGCCTGCATCCAAAACGGGCTGCCTGGGGACTCCTGGGAGGGGAGGGGTGGGCGGGACCAGACAGGACAGGGATTTGGGGCTTCTCTGAACTGCCAAGAACCTTAGCTAGAGGCTCTCCCTGCGAACACCCAGCAGCCCACTCCTGGCAATATCCCCCAGGCCAGATTCACATTGCACCTGGATGCCCCTTAATCCACTCTTGATGTCTTGCAGGAAGAAACCACAACGGTACCTTCATCTTTGTTCCATACCGCGAGGACCCGGAAGATGAACGCGCTGAAGGTGGCTGCGAAGAAACCACGCCAATAGTTGCGGACAGCAAAGAACGTGGAAGTGACTTCGATGCTGAAAAGGACACCTCATGGAGGAAGGAAGGAAGGAAGAAGAAGACAAAAAAGTGGGAAATTGCTGAAGTCATCTAAATTCAGCACCATTTATCCAGGTTGTCAACTCTGAAACTGGCTGAGGCCATTTTGGAAGCCTCAGGCATGCCGCACAACAGAGGTAAGGCGGAGGAATAGCTAAGAAGGCGGTTTGTAGCCAGGGGTGGGCTTCAAAAAATTTAGCAACGGGTTCGCTGCCTGGTTGCTGGGTGGGCACGGCCATAGTGGGTGTGGCCTAGTTGACCTCTTGCACCAGGGTGGTGGGTGGGCATTTTTGCCCTCCCTGGGCTCCAGAGGCTTTCCTTGAGCTTCCGGAGGGTGAAAATGGCCTCTCCGGGCTCCGGAGGCTCTCTGGAAGATGGAAACCGGCCTATTTCCAGCTGTCCCGAACTTCTGGGAGGCCCATTTTTCGCCCTCCCTGAGCCTCTGTGTGTGCCCTGCACTTACCTGCATCCACAACGGGCCATGTGGGGACTCCTGGGAGGGAAGGGAGGGGCAGGTGAGGCCAGCCAGGAGTGGGATTTGGCGGTTCTCACAGAATCTTAGCTAGGGGCTCTCCTGAACCCCCAGCAGCTCACCCTTGCAATTGTAGCCAAAACAATAAAATTTTACCTTGGGAACCAAGGCCATTCTCACAGGTGGCTGGCCAGGGGAGGAGTGAAGTAACCAAGCAACCAGCCAGCACCTTGATTGGACAGCGTGACCAGTGTCTTGGGGGAAAGGGGACATTTTTACTTATTTGCTGAAAGCCGCGGGAATTTTCAGAGTCGGCTTTCACCAGTTTGTGCCACTACGATGTATCCAATAAATTGTTCTTTGAGGAATCTTTCTGCCTCAGAGTCCTGCTTTCTATGGGTGCAGGGGTTCACGCCAACACAGATCTCGTATTCTGTGGGTCAGACATTAACCCTGTGGTAAATTGGGTGGCCAATAAATTTTACAAAAAAAGAAACTAACAAACAAACATTGACTCTCCCACAGGTGTACTTCCTCACTTTTCAAGTTTATCTTTCCTCAGTTTTCAAGAATGCAGCCTCCCTTCCAATACACGAGGTCCTCGACTTACGACCCCCAATTGAGTTCCACATTTCCGTTGCTAAGTGAGCTTTGCCGCATTTTATGACTTTCCTTGCCACGGTCATTAAGTGAACCACTGCAGGTATTAAGTTAGTAACATGGCCGTTAAGTGAATCTGGCCTTCCCATTGGCTTTGCTTGTCAGAAGGCCACAAAAGGGGATCATTTGGCCCAGGGACACTGCAACCGTCATAAATATGAATCGGTTGTCAAGTCAAACATCTGAAAGCCAATCACGTGACCATGGGGAGGCTGCAACGGTCATCAGTGTGGAAAAACGGTCATAAGTCGCATTTTAAGTGCCGTTGTAACTCTGGAACGGTCACTAAATGAATGGTTGTAACGTCGAGGGCTACCTGTATCACCTTGAAAAGAACACCGTTAGCCAGAACAGACAGGACCAGAGGTGCCAGCCACACATCTCAATCATTACAAGATTGAGGGTTGGATTGGATGACCTTAGTGGTCTCAGTTCTGAGACTGGGGAGGAATTGGAAGTGAAGAAGCTTATTGGATGAGAAGCAAAACATTTTAAAGAAAAGTCAAGTAAGCCCAGTTGCTGTTTGGAGAAAAGCACTTCTGGGATGCCTTAGATTAATTTAATGGCCCTGAAAAGTATCTGTTTATTGCAGGAAATTGATGAATAGCCCTCTGTGGCTACATCTTCCCTCTTCAAGAAGGAATGACGCACAAAGGCACAACAGACGACAACAAAAAGATTAGAATGAGCCAGCACTAAAAATCCAGAGACTTGAACTTTAAAGCAGGGTCTCCAACCTTGGCAACTTTAAGACTGGTGGACTTCAACTCCCAGAATTCCTCAGCCAGCGAAGCAACTTTAAGACTGGTGGACTTCAACTCCCAGAACTCCTCAGCCAGCGAAGAAACTTTGAGATTCGTGGACTTCAACTCCCAGAATTCCTCAGCCAGCGAAGCAA